TGGGGGGAGGGGGAAGGAGGGAGGAGTTGAAGAGGGGAACAGAGATGGCAACAGGGAGACAGAGGAGGCCTTGCTCCATGACCAGATGTCAGACCTGGGTGAGGGTCTGATGGGGGGACAGGGGGTGCTGTCGCTGCAGCTCAGGCGAGGCCTGGAGTCAGGAGCCCTGGGCTGGGGCCGGAGGGAGTGTCGTCCTGATGCTGGCCCAGGTGACTCCCTCCCCGAGGAGCCTCAGAGCTGCCCCCTCCTCGGTCCTCTCCCAGGTGGCCGCCACAAGTGTGACCATGGCTCCCAGCAACTGCAGCACTGACCGCAGCACCCTGATGCAGGTCATCACCAGCGCCTCTGTCCGCCTCACCCTGGGCTGGGGGCCCTGCTGAACGGGCTGGCGCTCTGGGTCTTGGGCTGGTGCCAGCACAGGTAGACAGAAACACACAGCTATATGGTCAGCCTGGTGGCCGCCGACTGCCTTCTGCTGCTGAGCCTGCCAGGCATCCTGCTGACGCTGGGTCCTCGCGCCCCCGGCCCCGAGGAGACCCAGTGCCGTGTGCTACAGGCCTTCTACTACCTCGACACCTAATGAGCATGGCCCATGGCTGCCATGGCGGCCAACCGCTACATGGCGGTGTGCTTCCCCCTGCGCACCAGGGCCTGGCACTGCCCCCGGCAGGCAGCCGCCACCTGTGCTGGCCTCTGGCAGCAGGTCACCGGGGCGTGGTCCTGCTGGTGTCCGGGCTGCCCGAGGGGGAGAGTTTCTGCTTTGGGCGGGGCCGGACACACGGCCTCCGGCCCCTCACCTTCTCGGGCCCCTTGCTGCTCTTTAACCTCCTGCTGCCCATCATGAGCGTCTGCTTGGGCCGGGTGCTGCACAGCCTGCTGCGTGACTGGGCGCGGGCACCGCCCCAGACCACCGCTGCCATCCGCCTGCGTGATGGCTGCCAACCTGGCCACCTTCCTGCTCTGCTTCCTCCCGCTGCACGTGCCCTTGCTGGCCAAGCTGGTGGCCCAGTGGACGGGCGCGGAATGCCCCACGTTCAGAGGGTGAACCTCTGCGTGCAGGTAGCTTCTCGGATTGCCAATGCCAACTGCTGCCTGGACGCCTTTGGGTACTACTTTGTGGCTAGCGAGTTCTAGGAGGAGGTGGCCAGTGTCCTCGCTTTGCCCTGGCCTTTCCCGAGATGGAGCCGGGGCAGTGCCCTGGGGCGGCCAGCCTAGGAGAGTCCACCAAGAGGGGGCTCAGAGCAGGCCCTGCAAGTGCTGTCCTGCGCCCCATCCTGCACACCCTGAAACTCCCTTTCTCCCAAGGGTTAACCCCTCTCTGCCCAGCACAGGCTGAGTGTGGGCTTTTGCGGAAGTTTGCTGATGCTTGGGGAAGTCACTGCCGCCCCAGGCTCTTCCCTCTTGCCTCTAAACTGTCACTTATTCCCCTTTGCAGATACCCCCCACCCCCACCCCCATGCTCAAGCCCAGGGCCCACCCCCGTTGTAAGGCTGAGCTGCCCAGAATTACTTCAGGGGTGCCCCCTGCCTGCACTGCACATGTTATGATGCAGAGGAGAGTAAAGGCCCTGGGGAGACCATTGCTCCCACCTTGGCCAATACTACGTGCGTGCGCACGGGGTGGGTGGGGGATTAAAGAACAACACATGCTGTTCTTTTGTGAGGAGCCTTGGCGGCACAGTGGGTGCTACATACGTGTGCACGGAAGCAGAAGGCCAATGCTCCTGAGTCCCCAGCTCGCAGTGGGAGAAGGGAGAGGCTGTGAGCCCTTAAAGATTCAAAGTCTCGGAAGCCCTCAGCGGCAGCCCCCCTCTGTCCTGTAGGCTCGCTCTCAGTCGGAACGGACTGGGTGGCACGGCAGGCTCTGCCCAGGTCTTGGGAGTGCTGGCAGGGGACGTGCTGGGCCGCCAGCCAACAAAAGGGCCAACGACTCGAGTCCACTGAGGTTCCTGGGGAGAAAGTCCCGGTGACCAGCTGCAGAAAAGCGGCCCCCGAAACCCCATGGGGCACAGCCATGCTCACACAGGCAGAGCTCCCCTAGAAGGCCATGGAGGTTGGCGTTCCCTGGTGGCCCCACACACACTGCTGACCCTGCAGCAGGGACTTGAGTCCACCCTGAGCCTCCCTCTCTTGCCTGCTGCTCTTGCCAGGTGGGGGTGGGAGTGAGTGGGGGCAGGGAGGCTGGCTGAGTTTTCTGCCCTGTACTCGGTGGAGTGGGTGGTCTGGGCTCCCCTTTGAGACATACCTCGCTGGACAGCTGGCCTCCAGAGAAGTGCCTTCCAGGCAGGCAATCTATAGGAGGTAGGGTCCTAGCCACCTTCCATAGACCTTGCCCCCATTCCCTGCCTGCCTTGGCAGATGGGGTCTTTAAGGTGGGCTTGATCTACTCCCAGGAACTGCCCTTGGAGAGGCCTAGCTGAGGGGGATGATCCTCACTCAGCCCCTGCCCTCTGGAGCCCACTCCCAGGGTGGCATCCCATTCCACACGGACTGTTCTGAGGAATGGATTCGATGCCAGAGACGGTCTTTCAGCCTGAGCCACAGCCCGCAGATCCCAAGGATCCAACCTAGGGCGTCAAGGGAAGCCCCCTGGGGAGCCCTCCAGTGGGGAAGGAGATGGGCCTGCCACAGCCAGGGACCTGGAGCCTCATCAGGACTCCCTGGAGCCCAGGCACGTGCTCCCTTTCTGCAGGAGCGGTCCTGTTCACTGACAGAGTTCCCCAAAGCTGCCACCGCACAGCCCTGCTGCCAATGCTGTGGCTCAGCAGTGCCCGGTCAGTGGAAATGAACACTTACTGAGGAGAGCCTTAGGAGTCACAGGGGATTGCAAGTCAGGCTGCTCATGGCCAGGTCTACGGTTTGAGCCCACCAGCGGCTCTGAAGGAGGGAAGTGAGGCTTTCCTACAGTAAAGATGTACAGCCTCAGGAAGCCAAAGGGACAGTTCCGCCCTGCCCTGGAGGGTTGCTGTGAGTCAGCACTGAGTTGGTGGCAGCAGGTTTTGTTTGGGGGGGGGGGGTTTGTCGAGAATGATAATAATGCAGCTCCTTGTGCTTAAAAAGTAAAGTCAAAGCCCAACCTCAAGAAGCTATTGGTCTGTAGGCAGGAAACCCAGACCAGAGCGTCTCTCATCCAGTAGAGGAGACATCTGAGGCAATTGAAGCAGATTATGACATTAATAAGCCTTCTGGGGTGGGAGGTGGAGATGGGGGGAACCCAGCAAAAAACCCCACTATAAAACAGAGAAACCCCACATGCACTGCCATCGAGTTGATTCTGCTCATAGTGACCCTACGGTAGGGTTTCTGAGATGAAATCTTTGTGGGAGGAGATGGCTCCGCTTTTCTTCTGTAGAGCGGCTGGTGGCTGTCAACGGCCGACAGTGTGCTTAGCAGCCCAGTACTCACCCACAACTCCTTCAAGGCTCCTCTCTCAAATGCTACTTTGGTCCGTGGATTTTAAGTGGGCCAAATGCTTCAGTTAAAAGACACAGAGGGTCAGATTGTTGAGAGAGAGAATTCAACACTATACTGCTACAAAAGGATACACAAGCATGGGGGTAGAATTGATCAGCGTAAAAGAACATTCACTATCATGAAATGTGACCCCAGGAAGTTGGAGAACTTGCCTCAGGCAGAGCGTGGTCCTTAAGATAGGCGGCATCATCATAGAGAGACGCCTGTTTGTTTCACAGGCACACAAAAGTCGCCTCCAGGGAGACACGTCAGTATTAAACTCACATGCACCCAGTAACAAAGCTCAAACACGTGCCGCTGGAACGAGAACGCCACAATCACGGGGGAAAGTTTGATACTGTTGTCTAAAGTCACGCGACAGGCAGGAGAGACATACGCAAGGCACCAGTTTGAGCAGTAACACCACCAACGCAACGTGCCCATACAGCTCACGGCGTCCAACACCTGCGTAATTTGTGCTGCTTCAAAGCACACAGAAGAACACACACAGAGATTGGCTTCATGCTGTTCCATGCAACAAACCACCTCACATTTCAGGACCCTGACCCACAGCCTGTTTTCTCACCACAGCGAAACTGTGAACGAAACCTGTAACGAAGCTGCAGCTCGGACATCACAAGTGTTCGTGAATCAAGAAATTCACTCCCAAAGAACTTTAGGGTGAGGGCAAGGGGCTGTCATGGAAGCGGCGGGCTATTGTGAATGGAGTGATGGTGCCAACATCCAGTGTGTGGGCATGAACCAGAACAACGCGGATGGAGAGGACTTGTCCCCACAAGTTGGTATTTGAACAGGGAAGAGATGTGAATGGCACAGGACATTAAAGACCCCACCCCCGCTGCCATAGAGTTGATTTAAACTCATAGCCACCCCGGATAGGGTCTTCAGAGGTGTTGAGACCACTCCCCAACCTGCCTAGTGCTGTGTCGGGTTGTAAATGCCACCGTTTGCCTGAGGAAGGGGCCCTGGAGATAGGAGCAATGCTGTCACAGGAAGTGGATGTCTGTCCACCCGGCACATTGTGCCTTCCTTCCTGCTCCCCTGTCTCTTGTGAGCCCCTTTCCTCCGAGGAACGTCTCCCATGACAAGCAGAGAATGCTGGTCATGACCAGACCCGGCCGCCCCAGAACGGAAGGAAGCTGGTGAGGCCCAGACGCGGCCTGTGGGACACGCATCCCCCACAATGAGAGAACTCAGGCCGAGGAACCAGAAAGCCGTCACCAGGCCCACTTGGAGGACATTTGAAAGCAAGAAGTTAAGAGTCAAGCGTCAGAACCCCACCCCCTGCATATACATGCACACCTGTGACTACGGCTCACAAGGCTGTCAGCTGCCCATGAGCTGCCCAGTGTGCTTCCGGGTGCACACGTGGAACTGCAAACCCCCCTTTCGGGCGCCTGCCTGCTCTTTGCTTCACCAGCCAAAGTAAAGTTAGCTCTGTCCTTTCCCCCCAGCCTCTGCCTGCGTTTCTCAGCTGCCCTCCCTGCTGGCCGCACCGCCGGTCTTCCTGGACGCAGTGGCCTCAACTTTCCCCTGAGGAGCAGCAGCTGGGTTTGAACTGCCGGCCTGTGGTTAGCAGCCAGTGAATCACTCACTCACTCACTCATTGCAGTGACCCACACAGGACAGGACAGAACAGGCCCTGTGGGTTTCCAGAACGGACACTGTTTACGGGAGTAGGACCCTATCTTTCTCTCATAGCCAGTGCGTAGAATAGCAAGTTACAATTGTTTTTTAAATGCAGAAGGAAGGAATCACTCTGCCGGTTTGCAGCTGTCTAGTTTGTCCTCTAGCTACTCATTGAGGGGCCCTGGTGGCGTAGTGGTTACAAGCTGGGCTGATAACCGCAAGGTCAGCAGTTTGAAACCCCCAGGCGCACCTTGGGGAAGAGATGAGGGATTTCACTCCGTCAAGAGTTGCCGTCTCCATGGGTTGGCAACCACAAGACGGCAGTGAGTATTTTCAGCGACCTCTCTACTTCATTGTTGGTGAGTGCTGGCCTGCTGACCTCGAGGTGGATGTCCAAACGCAGCGCCCCACGGTCCCTCGACAGAGTGACCCCCAGCCTGACACATGAGCGTCCTAGGTCTCAGAAGCACGACACAGCATGCCTCCTGGAGACCACGGGCCCCATGCTGTACGAAGGACGGCTCAGTCAACACACAGTGCTGGGCCAAGTGCCCCCACCCCTTCCCTGGGCCTGGCTGCAGAACACCACGTCTGAGCCAGGCTTGTATCTGAGTGTGTGTGTGTGTGTGTGTGCGGCGGGGCACCTCTCTGCCCACCACCTCACAGCATTGAGGCTGTGGCCTGAGACCCCCTGACCCCCACTGAGGCCTCTGAAGTTCAGTCCCTCTCCTACTGACGTCTTCCCTCTCCTCCTCCTCCTAACCTCCATCCCACGATAGGTCATTTCATCCTGCGCCCACTCTGGTCTCAGGAAAGGACAGCATGGCCGTGGTCAGAGCCCTGAGAAGCCTGTCTGGTGGCCTGATGGTGGTGGACTTCAGTGTGTCCTGAGAGTCTCCATTGCTGGAAGCTGTTGCAACATCTGGAAGCGGGCAGCTGTGGAAAACGTGGGCAGAGACCGGACAGACCTTCGCGGTGTGAGCCCTGCCCCACCCCACCCCAGGCCTTCACTAATGGGCACACTCCCCAGCCAGAACCAAGCCCTGACCTCATCCTGGCCCGGCCATGGGGCATCCCTGTCTGGCCCTCCTCCCCCAGTCAGCTAGCACCCCGCCTTGGACTCCTCTGCCACCACCACCACCCACCCATGCTCAGGCACCACTTCACTCGTCCCACCTGTCAGCTGTTCACGAAGGAGGTACTACCGAAATGAGGGCTTTGTCTTACCAAGAGAAATGTTTACTTTTGGAAGGCATCGGGCATGGAGGGAGAATTTTACTTAGACACTCCCAGAGGAGGGCCCGGCTGGTGTCATGGACACAAGTTGACTTCGCATGCTAACTGCAAACTCAGCAGTTCGAAACCAGCAGCTGCTCTGTGGGAGAAAGAAGGGGGGCGGGGTGTGTGTGTGTAGTTTTCTACGCCCTTAAAGAGTTCTGTTAGGAGAAGCAACAAAGCCCACATGGAAGAAGCACAACCAACGAGGTGTCGAAGGGATCAGGTATCGGGCATCATCAGAACAAAAAATCAAATCATTGTGAATGAGGTGGGGAGTGCAGAGTGGAGACCCAAAGCCCATTTGTAAGCCACTGGACATCCCCTTACAGAAGGGTCTCAGGGAGGAGACGCACCAGCCAGGGTGCAATGTAGCAATGATGAAACATACAACTTTCCTCTAGTTCCTAAATGCTTCCTCCCCACCCACTATCATGATCCCAATTCTACCTTACAAATCTGGCTAGACCAGAGGATGTACACTGGTACAGATAGGAACTGGAAATACAGGGAATCCAGGGCAGATGATCCCTTCAGGACCAGTAGTGAGAGTGGCAGTACGGGGAGGGTGGAAGGAGGGTGGGTTGGAAAGGGGGAACCGATTACAAGGATCTGCATAAAACCTCCTCCCTAGGGGACAGACAACAGAAAAGTGGGTGAAGGGAGACATTGGACAGTGCAAGATATGACAAAATAATAACTTATAAATTATCAAGTGTTCACAAGGGAGGAAAGAGGGGGGAGCGGGGAGGGAGGGGGAAAATGAGGAGCTGATGCCAGGGGCTTAAGTGGAGAAGAAATGTTTTGAGAACGATGAGGTCAATGAATGTACAAATGTGCTTTACACAATTGATGTATGGATGGATTGCGATAAGAGTTGTATGAGCCCCTAATCAAATGATTAAAAAGAAAAAAATGTTCTCTTAGGTTCCTTGGGTGGGAAATACCTTGGTTCTTGGCTTCGCATGAGAAAGAATTCACGCCAAAGCCTGGTTTGTGATCCAAGTGGGTTTTTATAAAGGACAGAGGAAGCCTCGGGGTTCACAGTCACTGAACACAGGCACCATCAGGTGGCTGCACCCCCACACGTGGCGGCCTGAGGCCGGAGAGACTACAGCGCGGCCAAGCAGAAGGCCCAGGAGCAGCTGTAAAGAGCACGTCTCCAGGTTCTGGCCTTTAGGGCCTTCGGCTGGGCGGTGTGGTCGACAGTACTGGTTGACCCCATGGGCTGAATTAAGCCCACCTGGCCTAGTTTGGGTCCGTCCAGTTGCACCGCTTCCTGGCTCAAGGGCCTGACTTGGAGCATGCTCAGTAGACAGCCCTGGTCCCGTTCTGGCTACCTCACAGTTCTAGTCTCAGAATCCCACAGGGACAGCTCTACCCTGTCCTTCTGGGTCGCCATGAGCCGGCATCAACTCGCTGGCAGAGTTGGTTTTGGTTTTCGGAAGGAGCCCTGGAGGTGTCGTGGTGACGTGTCGGACTGCTAGCCTCAAGACCATAGTTCAAAACCAGCAGCCCCACTGTGGGGGGAATGGGGTTTCTACGCCCATGAAGAGTTCATCTTGATGCACAACTCTCCATAGTATGATTAAACTACTGAATTGTATGTACAGTATGCCAATAAAACGCTTTATAAAAAGAGCTACAGCCTCGGAAACCCAGGGCAGTCCTACCCTGCCCTACAGAGTCACTGTGCATCTGCGCCCACTAGATGGGAGGGGTGAGTGACAAGGACCGGAACTTCACTGGCCAGCAGCGTGCTCCTCACTCAGCTTCATTTCGGGAATGGCCATTGGAGCAGCAAGGGATTCTGGGATATGTAGTCATGAGGGTGTCATGGGCTCTGCACATGCTCTGTCCCAACCTCCACCTTAGGCTCCTTGTCCCGTCTGGAAGAGAGGGGGTGGGGGAGGAAGGCGCATTGTGTTTCAAGGTGACAGATGAGGAGGTTTTCC